GTAGAGCGTACACAATAGGCAGTTTAGAAAGGGCCCTCCAGGGAATATCTTCCTTTTTGCCATATGGTCATCTCTGGTACAGTAAGCACCCATTGATCCATATTCAAAAACTGGAAACCAGAGGCTATTAGTTTGTTGATAAGGAAAATGTAGATTTAAGCTGACTTGGGTTAACCAACTGTTTGGTGATGTTAACAATTCTTCACAAATAAAGTCAGCCATTCAAAATGGTCTAAATGTATTCATCCATTGGTGAGCGCAAACAGGTCTTTAGATGAGAAAAATTGTATCCATATGGAAAACATGCCTAGTTTATTTACCCAGAACAGATACTCAAGTATCAAAGTGTGGTTAGAAGTAGAGAAAAGAAATAGAAAAAAGAGAATTTACAATCTGTCAAGGAAAATCTAGGAAGGACAAAAATATCAACAATTTTGTGATGTTTGAGAAGTGAGAGATTAAATTTCCAAGAGGCAATGAGAATAGTCAAACAAAAAAAAAACATGAGAAAATGTACTGTGATGTGACAGCTTTCTACTACCTTAAGGATTTTTAAAGAATATTATAAAAGTATTTCAACATCTGTATAGATAGTTGTATTCTGGAAATCAATGATGGGGCTGGTTTTTGTGTCTCTGACACAGCAAATGAATATAAATATTCAACCTGAGCTGCCAAGTAGATTATATGAGTGATACTTTTTAAATCACTTACCAAGTCAGCAAGACAAAGGTGATTTAGATCTGGATGTCAGGAGGCAAAAATGTTCATTTGAGGGCAATCAGGAAACAACAATAAACTGACAGACCAGGGAAGAAAATGTCCTGACTCATATTTTTTTTTTTCCTTTTGAGGCATATGAATCATTTCTTTAGCCCAAGTACCTGGTCCATATCCATCATTTCAAAATTCCTCTTACAAGACTCAAAGGGGGAACAAGTGTCTCATTTCAGGCACTTAAACCAGCTATGCAAGAGTATTGAATGGAGAAGTTTTTGTTGCATTAAATGACAGTATGCAGATTTCCATTTATGTAATACTCTTTATCTTCAGTGGAAGGTCTCGCAGGATGCAATCAAGATGTCAGAGGAGATTCTGGGTTCATCTAAGCCTTGGAACCCTCCGAAGGTCACACAATTTGGGACAGTTTCAGCTCCCTGAAGTCAAAGAAGTGAAGACCTCGGCTGTTAGAGGCTGACTACAGTTCCTGGCGAATTAGCCCTCATGTCACAGCAGCTTGCTTTGTCAAGGTGAGTTTCTCATTCTAATATGCTAAGGCAGAATGTTCTATAATGTTTATAATCATAGAAGTGAAATATCATCAACTTTTCCATATTCTATGAATTACAAGCAAGTTGCAGATTTTTGTCCACACTTAAGGGGAGATTATACCGAGGAATGTAAAGGAATTTTGGATTTCTTCCAGATTCTGCTGATCAGTCTGCCTGCCTTATAGTACAATGACATTTCTTTATTTTAGTCTTCAATTGTGTACTAAATACATTTCTATAAGATAGATAGTACATACACACACACACATACACACACAGATAGAAACTAATAATTTGTTACTTTATATTTCTCTCCTCCAGCCCAGTATCACTTAAAGTTCTATATGTTAATATAGGTATTTGTTATGTATTTCTTAATAAATGATATAATACATAAATAAAACAATTGATGCATAAGTGATCCATTAAAACACACTGTGACATTTTGAGCAGTGGAGTTACAAAATCTTCCATGTCATGAAGAAAGTTGGATTTGAGCAAATTCTTAATATTTGATAAGGTTTTGACATATTTTTTCAGGATGGCATGGTGGGAACTAATGAGTTGTAATACATAACTATATGCAGAACAAGATTATTATACTGAATTTCATTGACTAAATGGGATGTGTTGTGGGTTATATAGAGTTAAATGATTAGTCTCACTGGGCCCTTAAGTGCCATCTTTAGAAATCTCTTCTTTGAATGTAAAATTAGAGGCTATATTTCAAAAATATAGGACAAGAGAAATGCAGTTATTTGGTGTTCATAATTGTCCTTTGGGGGCTCCTTTCTATACAAGATAATATTTCTACATTTCATAAATCTTACATAGGATCTTTTATATTATTTAATAAATTAAATACAAGCTATCTGCACTTCTCTATCACAGCTATGTCAAGTATTTTGAAGAATTAACTCACTCAATGGAATTCCTTCCTTTCATTAACTAGACTTTTGTTTCCCCTTTATTTTAATTGAATCCCCACCAAATATTACTTTCAAACTGTTTGGGCAGATGTTTTGTGGTATGCTATCCCAAACCTCTAGATACTTAGTATTTCAAGTCTAGCAAAATGATCTGTATATAGACCATTTGAGGAAGCAAAAAAGTTAGTCTCTGTAAATTATATATCACAGAACACCAGAAAGAAAATATTGCTTAATCTCTACCACACTTCTTTCTCTGGAATGCATCTTGTTTCCCTGTTTTCTTCCCCTGACTATTGTATTCCAGTTGCACTAGATTCTGTGAGTATAAATGTTCGAATTCATCAGCACACTATCTAGAACACTGTACATGTCATTAAAGTCTATCTTTTGCTGTTAAATCTACTGCAGTCACACTGTAGGAGGAAGTTGTTTTGGTGCTCCCAAACTGCCACTCCCACCACCCTCTCTACAAATCAAAATCTAAAATACTATTTTGTCAGCATGTTAATCTCTGCAAGGCGACACCTCTAAAATAAGTAATGAAGTTCATTTTTCATTGGTTATTCAATAAAGTCTGTTTTCTGGCAAACTCAAAAGATGTGCTCAATCAGTAGATGCTCTAAAGTTTTGCATTTCATCTTAACCATTCCTTCATTATAGCCATCAGTATTTCATTCCAAATGAGTCACTGTAAGGCATTGTTACTCTAACCACATTGTACTTGTCAGACCCTTGACTGATAGAACCCTTTATTAACTTTTGCTTAGCTATGCCAAGTCAATGTTGCTTTGAAGGTCTAAATTATAAAAATCTTATTTGATTAGGAACTATCAATGTCCATATATGTTCTATGGAACTGATTTTCTCAGCCTACATACAAAAATTTGCCTTTAAAAATCAATGGAATTATGTAAATGAACTAATTGTATGTTATGGATCTTGAATTAAACTTGGAAAATAAAAGGTGTGGTGTGTTAACTCGTGGAATCAATTTAGGTGGGACTCAATGAAGTTGTTTGAGATGTTTTCATAAATTTAATGAAAATAATATACAAACAGAAGTCTGATTAATCAATCAAGTAATTATCACATGAGTGTTTTTAAAAGTTCAGTGCAAGTGACTGTAATTTATTTTAATATTTAAGTGATCTTTTCACCTTAAGGATTCAGACACATGTACACAAGTGCAGATAATACTGGTCTGACAGGCAGGAGTTAGTCCTGATCCTCCCTTGCATAGGTCACTGAGAGAGGCCTCACTGACTAAACAGTGAACTGGAACAGCAAGGATAGAGAGCTTTGAAATGAAAAATCGTCTATTCAAAATTTCTCAAAAAGAGGTATTTTCAAGGAACAGACCTACTACTCTAATTTGAGGAGGACAATAAAATGACAATGTACCCTTATTTGGTATTAAACCAATTGATCATGCTTGTGATAAGCATTTAAATAACTCCGTTTGTTTCTCTTGGTATCACATGCAGAACATATTGTGGGTTGACACTCAAATTCCTGCCTGGAAATTGGGGTTTATAATTTTACAATGTAAGTTGAAATTCTTAATTGCTCCTGTTACTTGTCTCACTTCATTTTTCTTAAATACCTAAAATTCAAATGCCCTCACTGGGCACAAAGATCAGGCTCTCTGACAGGCTTCTTACCTGTTTACCTGTTGGTGTACACAAAAGGTTATTCACTGTTAACCTTATCCTAATCCAGTTTTATGGATTTATATAATGTGATTTTGGTGGTTTTAAAACTTTCTGTATTCTGTATCAGTAAATCTGAAGATTTTCAGTTTCTGATTACAGATCTACTCCTTACATCTCTTTCTTGATCATTCTGAGCTTCAGATTGAATATGAACAGTAGTATCAAGTTTCTTTTCCTGTATTTGATCACCTGGTGTTATCATATGTGTACTCACTCACCCATATCAGAAACCTGCAAACTCTTCACTCAATGTTGACTCAGATGACTGAGTTTCATTCATTCCGCTTTCTCAATATGTAGTAATTCCATCTCCTTATGTAAAATTTAAAGGTTACTGACTTTATTCAGTCTCTTACCTCCACTTGAATAGTTCTAATGACTCTTAGCTTTTTCTTTCCCAGCATTTAGCACTTAAAAAGTTGCTCCATATGTTCTAAGTCAAGCAAAAATCCTGAGGGTTTATGTTAAAATCCTTCAATAATTTCTACTAAATAGAGATAAGCCCAAAGTAATTTTACAGGTAAAACAATATTTTTACAGGTAAAATATGGTCATTCAGAAACTTATCACGTCCCGATCATTACGTGAGAAAAAACAATGAGGTTTATACGTACAAGGGAACATTGTTTAGCCATAAAAAGAAGGAAATCCTGTCAATTGCAACAACATGGATATACATTGAGGGCATTATGCTAAGCGAAATAAGCCAGGCAAAGACAAAATCCATATGATCTTACTGGTAATGATTTCATTATTCTCCATAACTCATCTTCTTTAACTTAGGATGAGGTTGCATCCCAATAGACCCGTAGGTTGAAAACATTCTAAGTTGAAATGCATTTAATGCACTTAACCTACTGAAGATCACTGCTTAGCCAAGCCTCCTTTAAACATCTCAGAACACTGATGGTAGACTTCTGTTGGGCAACATTATCTAACACAGAGTCAATTTTATCACAAAGTGCTGAATATCTCAGACACAAGTGGGCATTTTGAAGATATAATAGGATATGAAAACACAAAGCACAATACTCAAAACAGCTGCCAACACTGTGCTCTGTGGAGTACTGATCTCTTACCCTCCTGGTCCTGCGGCCAGCTGCAAGCTGCTGCTGCTGCCCCTTCCCTGCGTGCAGAGAGCGTCGGACCACCTATCACCAGGCTGCAAAAAGAAGGAAATACAAGAGTTGAAATTCAGTTTCTACTAAATACTTATTGCTTTCATATCAATTTAAAAAAAGTCAAAAAATCTTAAGTTGAAACATCAGAATATGGGGACAGTTTGCAATTATACTTTAGGTGATAATAAGGATATGCAAAAACTTGTCCAATGACAGTTGATTTGTCTGTTTCTCTTTTTTAATTTAGTAAATTTGTACTTTTTATATTTTGATGCTACTTTATACACAGTTATAATCTTTATGTCTTACTGTTGAAGAAAATGTTTTATATTATATTATCATAGTATATAAATGTATCTCTTTACAGAGGTGTTGTGGGCTTACTGACGATATCATCAAATTGTGGTCTTCCCTTATTCAGTGTACTTCATAGTAGGTATGGAACACAACTGTGCAGTTGGCCACTTGTTATTTTCCTTGGCTTCTCAATTATAGGATCTGCAAATCAAAATAGTTGGTATTGGGCCTCCCTAATGGCACAGGGGTTAAAGACACAGTGCTCTCAAGCTATCTGCAGCCTCTGCAGCATGAGTTCAGTCCCTGGCTGGCCAGGAAGCTGACCCACATGGCACAGCAGACCTCTTCTGTCTCGCCTGCTGCTCCCCTCAGCAGTGTATTTCAGTAGATCTACCTGTTCTGCTCCCACTCTGTCTCTGGTGAATCCTTCTTACCCCCCACCCCAGCACCTCTGGTCTACACCCCAGTTCTTGTATGCATAAATGAATAAATCTTAAGAACAATAGTATCAACTGATCATACAAATTAGTCTTTCAAATATTCTAAGAATTTCTGAGGTAAATAATCTTCTAGCACTGAATAAACCCAACGTTAACCAAATGTGTTCTTACATATAATTTTAACAAGTAATAAAACCTGATATTGAAGGCTGAAAAATACATTCCAGGTAGCCAAGTATTGTTGACAATTATAAGTGTTTAGACACAAATTAGCAGATATAATGATTTTTTACATGAAAGATTTTGAGAGCTTTCATTAAAGTAGTGATAGTTGGGATGACGCAGGGTACCTCTGTAGGGGTTTATTCTACAAAGCAATATTGGTGGACAGTGAAAAAAGAAGTGAAATTGTGCTTAGAGCTCCATATTTCCATTGTCTGTTAATCTTAAACCACTCACGGATAATGCTAAGCAGCATACTAAATTTATATTTTAATGTTTAATTAAAAATATTAGTTGGATAATTTTCTCTGAAGTATTCTGTATTGCATTGTCTGTCAAATACTATCTTATTGTTTACCTGAGTGTGGGTCCACTCTCTCACTCAGTTGCTAAATATTTAAGAATTAAACCCCAATATAAATAACAGACTCCTGACTCAATTTTGAGGAAGAATCTCTGAATAATTCCTAAGCTAAGAAGGAGGTATGTAACTGTGTAGTGTAGTATACTACTTTGATTACGAATGATACTCTATGAATGTTCTTAATTACATTTTATGTTTTCTTTCTGATAGTGTATACAATTTAAAATGGGAGTTTATGAAATATTTTTTAGGCAGCTATGTTTACAGTTTGAAAAAAAAATCTTGTTTTCTGTTGAAAAGCTATATTGTAATTTCTATTTCCAGCAACAACGCTAACTAAACATCTTAAAAAAGAAACTGCTGGCATAATATACACAGAAATGCTATTTCCAAACACATAGCTGACCTTGCAAGATGTTGAGGAAAATCCCCAGAAATAGAAAATGAAAAAGAAGCTGAAACCCACAGTGTTAAGTGTGGCCTGAAACCATGAATGCCCTGAGGACATTTACTGAGTTCAATACTGGCACTGGGTTTTAAGATGTGCATAGGGACAGGATGCCAGGCTTTGGATATATGTAAAGACTTCTTCCCAAAATAACCCCATTGAAGAGGTGAAACTTTAGGAATGTGTGAATTTTAAAAAAATCTTCCTAGAGGCAATTTCAGACAAAAACAATATATATTTATATCAGCCTAGATTCAAGGCAAAATTTAAAATACAGAAAAGGAAAAATGTTGTTAATCATCAGTAATCATATGCCATAAATTATGATCACTAAAAATGATGCCCAGGAATAAACCCATATATATAGGGACAGTTAATCTATGACAAAGGAACCAAGAGTATATATATATTGGAAGAAGGAAAGTCACCTCAACAAAAGCTGTTAGGAATAATTAACAGACACTTGCCAAAGAAAGAAACTATATTACCATAGTACATCTTACACCAGAATTAATTCAAAATGGAATAAAGACATGGCTGTAAGACCCACATTCATGAAATATATTGAATAAAACAGGCAAAACATCCCACCACATTGGCTTCAGTGTTGTCTTTGTGAACTCTTCCAACAGCAAAAAAATCAAAAGAGAATATAAACAAATGAAACCACACCCAAATAAAAAGCTTCTGCATAGCAAAAGAAACTAACAGTAAAACAAATACACACCTTACTGAATGGGTGAAAATCTTGGTACATCATACATCTAACAAGGGGTTGAACATCAGGGAAATGCAAATAAAAACCAAAATAAGATAACATCTTACATCTATGAAAATGGCCCATATCAAAACCTCCAGAAACAGTGTCAGAGAGGAGATGGAGTTAAATGAATCCTCATACATTAGATGAGAATGCACACTGATCTAGCCCTTATGGAATAAAGCATGGTGGTTAATCAAAATTTTAAAAATAGATTTACCATAAGATCTAGCAATTCTACTCCTTAGGTATCTATCCAAAGAATGCAAAAACACTAATTTTAAAGGATAAATACACTCCTATATTCATTGCAGCACAATATTGTTCACAATAGCCAGGTTTGGAAATAATCTAAGTATCCAAAGGAAAAATGAGGGATGAAGAAGGTATGGTAAACATACACAGTGGAATACTATTTGTGATGAAAAAAGAGATAAACTCTTGTCATTTGTGACAACATGGATGGAAATGGAAGGAATGATGCTAAGTGAAGTGAGTCCAAAAAAAGAAAAACAAATACAGGATGGTTTCACTTATGTGGAATATAAAGAAACAAAGCAAAGGTTAAATTAAAACAAATACAGTAACAAACCCATGAGAGTTATCTGTAGATCCAAGGTTACCAGAGTGGTGGAGGTGGAGAGTGGTGAGCTAAGTGTGGGAGGAGCCCCAATGGACAATGGAGGACTGTGGTCCCTTTTTGGTGGGTGTGATATACTAACATAGGTGAAGAGGTATAATCCTATAACTCTGAATCACATACAGTGTTATAAACCAAAGTTACTATAATAAGAACTATATAAATGAATAAAAACAACAGATGATAGATAGATAGATAGATAGATAGATAGATAGATAGATAGATAGATAGATAGATAGGCAGACAGTAAATAGGTAACTGCCAAGGTTTGCAAAAAAGCAGGGCAATTCTATAGTGTTTTTGAAAAGCATACTGCCTCTATCCCACATCTTTCTGTGTGGTAGTTCATGCTGGATGGGGAAGGGCACAAAAATAGTAGTTTTGCTGCTGGTTATAGAGGGAATCACTTGATTTACAGTGTTAGTTATAGTGGTGACCTCAGTGGCAACTGATCATAGAAGGCAGAATTTCTTCTAGACATAGGTGATGGTCCTGTTTGGTGCAACAAACATATTAGCAGACTAGCAAGTGTATATTACAGGAAAACAAAAGTTAAGGGGCAGATAGAGGGCTTAACAGTTTTTCCATTTAACTTGGAAAGACAGGAGTTGTAGACATGCAAAGAAGAGACTATGATGAGCCCATGTGACATTGGTTTTGGAGACACCTACACATCTGTAATTGAGTCAGTATCACACACACACATGATCCTGCGGACACACACATATACATACACATAGTGTGTAGTTAGTTACTACCTTCTCTACTTCTCTAGCAGTCCTTGACTTGTCTATGTTGGGTGATCTTCTAATAGATGTGCTTTTGGCTAAATCAGAGTAGTTTCCTATGACTTTGCAAGCAAATCAAATCAGTAATATATTAGAATTTAAATTGAAAATATACAAAAGCTACATATGAGTAAAAGGGCATGAGTTCTCAAATATACGTAGTCAACATATGTATTTAATTCTACACATATATGACAATCTCCGGACTTTCAATCACTCATCTTCATAATCTATAAACAAGAAGGAAATTGAAAAACTTAGAGAATTTGAAAATCTTAGAACTATAAATATGGGTATGAATCTGTCATCAAATATGAGGTTCTTGCTAAGAACCTTGCAGAGTGCCAGGAGAGCTATCACATTTAAAACAAAGAGAATTTAAAAATATCTTTTCAAGCAAATGAAAATTATTGTAGGTTTCTGACCTTAGATAACCAAAGGAGATCATGGAAAGCATATCACTAAGAATTAGAATAATGGAAAGGAATAAAAATCTACTTCAGTGGGAAGATTTCATTGCTTTTCTATCAAAAAAATAAGGAGTAGATTAATAACAGCTTTGCTATTGTATGACTTTTTTATTTCTGCAAATATTTAATACTGTCTTACCTTGCTTATAATGACCCATTTCACATATTACAGCAATTTCAAAAAACTGTAGATTTGACTTATTTTTCTTCTACCATATATAAGAGAACATCCTCTGATAAATCCTGCTAATAGATTAGATGGCTCCCTGTCATCTAAATTTCCTCAGATTGAAACAAATGGAGTTAAAAATGGAATATATATGGTAAAATATTTGGGTGAAAAATTAATCTCTTTACTATAACTCATCAACCCAATATAGTATTTTCATTAAATGGTGTTTTTGATCTCCTCTGAGAGAGAACTAAATGAACTGTCTAGAAAACTAAAGGGTGATCATTTTTTAAAAAACATCTACTAAGATGAAAGGTGACTTTTACATGATCTATACCATTTAATCATAAAACAGGATGTATTATAAATTTCCCCATTTTTTTATTTGAGTAAACTCAAATAAGTATAGTAATAAATAACATTAAAGATAAAATAAGTAT